GGCCTGATGTAATCACAAGGTTCCTTAAATGTGGAAGAGGTAGATAGAAGAGTCAGTGTCAGGAGCTGGCCAGTTGACCGGGTTGGTTAGAACGCGATGTTGTTAACACCAGGGTTGAAAGCTTAGATCCCTACACTGGCCATCTGCCAAAAAAGGAAGAGTCAGTGTCAGAATGATATAGGGTTAGGAAGACTTGACCCCACATTGCTGGCTTGGAATATGGAAGAAAGCCATGCATGAGCCAAGGAACGTGGGCAGCCTCTAGAAGCTGGAAAAGGAAAGGAAACAGATTCTCCCCTAGGGCTTCCTGAAGGAACCGGCTCTGCCAGCACTTTGAGTTTAGCCTAGTAAGACTGATTTTGGGCTTCTGACCTCTAGAAATGTAAGATAAGTTTGTGTTGTTTTGAGCCACTAAGTGTGGCAATATGTGATAACACCAACAGGAAGTGAATGCACTTCACTATAAATTAGAAAAAAAAATGGTGTGACTCATACTACTTTAAAATTTGAGGTTTTCAGCAAGTTGATTACATTAACTTTGCCCTCCCATTCCTTACATAGAGGCAGATTTATATGGAGGAAATGACGTGTAAGCGTCAGGGCTCTCATACCCAGGTCCCTTTCAACCCTTTCAGTACTGGAGTCATAGAATGTCCTAGGAAGGAAGGAGAAGCTGGGTTGCATCCAGGAAGCATTCCTGATAAATTCCCCCAAGAGATCTTAGAAGAAAGGGATCAGAATCTCCAAAGTTCCAGTAATTTGTTGTGTTTTCTGTCCTTATTCTGAATAAACTCTCATGTTCACATCTAGTTTTGTTTTGCTAATTTATTGTTTTTCTTATAGAGAACACCCCCCCTAAATATATCTGCTCTAGGTCCCCCAAAACCTAGATCTGTTCCTGCTCTTGCCTTTAAAAAAAAGACTTAAAAACATATACATACATATATCTCTCTATATATACACATACATACAAACATATATACATATACATATATATTATTATCTCTAATCATTGGGAAAGGGAAAAAAAAAGAGTTGCAGTCAAATTTCAAGTGGCTAATAAAATACCCCAGACCCGGGCCTTTCCACAATATCAAATCTCCTAATGGGATTTGAAGGGAAATATGTCAGTGCCCAGAATAGGGACTTAATATTTAAAGAAGGTTGGTCAAAATTGTATCTGATTCTGTCATAATCTTAAGATGAAAGGACACACTTTAAAGATAGGGAATGGGAAGAGTCATCTGAAAAGAATCTGACACACTAGAACTGAACTGGATTCAACTTAAACATTTACTGTATACCCTAGCAAATCAGGCACTGTGCTTTGTCGGGGGTGAGAGAAGAAGGGGGCAGGGGAATGAATGGCTGGCTGCCCACAGTCATTAGGAAGTCATCCTAAACTGCCCAACAGGCTCACCACAGTACATCTTCATTACATAGAACTATAGGGTCTACCTTTTTTATTCCATTTTTTTTTACTGTGGTAAAATACACACAAAATTTACTATCTCAACCATTTTAAAATGTACAGTTTAGTGGTATTAACTACATTCATATTGCTGTATAATCATCACCACCACCCATCTCTAGAACTCTTATTACTTTTAAGACTTACATTCTGTCAGATTATTATTATTATTTTTAAATGGAGGCAATTTACCACTGGGCACCAGTTCTTGTATAATGTTCAGAGTAGTTTACCACCAGAAACTGTTAAAAGTTCTTTACATGTATTAACTCATTTAATCCTATCAGCAAGTCCATAAGCTAGAGTCTTAATCACCTTAAAGATGAAGAAACTGAAACTCACAATGAGTAATAAATAAAGAAGATGGGATTTGAACCCAGGTAGTCTCTGCGTGTCATCATTAAGCTCTACTGCTTCCAGAGCATTTTCTGACAATAAAGATTCTCATGAAATGTTAGTAGCAGGGGATGAGTTAAATATACTGTGTCATAGGACAGTGGGTCTCATCCCCCTTTTCTGTTCTCATATATCTGATAGTTATGGCACCATCTCATCACTAACACTGGCTGCCTGGGTCAGTAATTCTTAATGGTGGTAGTGGGGATGGGGCATATCAGTGTATGTAGTTTGAAAGAACCTTGATCCCTTAGGTGATGTTTATATTACCTATTAAAGGTAGGTTGTAGAATCCTGTTGTAGAAGAATATTTATTGATATGGGGGGGAAAGCAGACAACAAAACAGTATAGAAAATGAGTATGATCTCATTTTTGTAAATATTTGTGTGCATATTTGTATATATAAGAAAATTAACTGATAATTATTTTTTTCTATAATTTCTGTATCTTCTACATTTACTGTGTCTTTTAGTTCGTTTTGTGTTGCTATAACAGAAATACCTGAGACTGGGTAATTTATAAAGGAAAGCGGTTTATCTGGCTTACAATTCTGGGACAGCTGCATCTGGCATGGGCCTCAGGCTGCTTCTATTCATGGTGGAAAGCAGCAGGCAGCCAGCAGGTACAAGCAGATCACATGGTGAGAGAAAACAAGAGAGAAAGAGGGCCGGCCGGTGGCCCACTCGGTAGAGTGCGGCGCTTGGGAATGTGGCGGCGCTCCCGCCGAGGGTTCGTCTCCCATATAGAGACCAGTCCGCTCACTGTTTGAGCGCGGTGCGGGCACGACACCGAGGGTTGCGATCCCGTTGCCGGTCACGAAAAAAGACAAAAAGGAAAAAAAAAAAAAAAGAGAGAAAGAGAAGATGCCAGGGTCTTGTTAAGCAATGAACTCTCGTGGGAACTAATCTAGGGAGAACTCACTCATTAATCCCCCTTCCCCCAGGGAGAGCACTAATCCATTCATGAGGTGTCCACTCCCATGACTCAATCAGTTTCCAACACTGCCACACTGGGGATCAAATTTCCACATGAGTTTTGGAGGGGACAACACATCCAAACTCCATTACTGTGTATCAGTTTTGTTTCAAGAGAAAAAAAGATCAACAAATGTAAAAAAACTTCTCAGGAAGTAAACCTCATGGAGGGTTATTCTAGGAAGCCCATGGCTGAGAAGTGGTGCTCTAGGAGTCTTTTGTGCTCCAGAAAATTGGCAGCCCTTGGAAGAGACAGAAATTCTTTACCATGGGTGGTGCTTCAGAGAGAACAAAGATTTCTGAAGGACCAAGAGGCTCTCCAGAGAAGCCTGGCTAACCAGGAAAATACCTGGTTCAGGGGACAACACTAAAACTTCAAACACATTCTTTGCTTAAATTTAGGAAAAGGGCTCATCACCAAGAATGAAACCCTGTAGGTAACTTAAGTTTTTCCTAATTTATTAGGTTTACATATCAAGCTCTATATGCTGTCTTGTATACGTAATGTAACTGGATGTTCTTGTGGTATGCATCATGCTACAGACAAGGAAGGAGAGAAGAGACCAGAGTCTACTTCTTTTGTAAACCTTTGTGGTATGAAATGCATAGATACAGTGGGGCACACTGCATGATGCTGATGGATTAATAATGGCTAAGTGAAATATCAAAAGTTGAACATGCAGAGACATATATATATATATATATATTTTGCAGCTGGCTGGTATGGGGATCCAAACCCTTGACCTTGATGTTATCAGCATCATGTTCTCCCAAGTGAGCTAACCGGCCAGCCCGAGACATATAACTTAATAAAGATCCCTACATAAAAAGCAAGATTCAAACATACGTATGGTTTTTTATTCATGGCTAAGATGTTGAGAGAGAGAATGCATTAAAGATATCTGGTGTCATTCATTTATTCAACAACTTACTGAGCAGCAATTCAGGACAGGTGTGGTGCTCTATGGTATCAAGGACATAGCCTCCTTCTGTCTTGTTGCACTTTGCATGCCTCAATTTCATGATCTAAAATGACAGCATCTGTCAGGCAGCAGGACAGAGAAAGAAAAAAAGAAACTGCCACCCCATGACATTCCTACCTTTTTCCACCTATGTAAAAGTTGTCCTTATGTTTGGCAGCTGGGTGTAAAAAAAAATTGGGGCATTTATCACCACAGATGTATGAAAAAAATGTGTGAGTGAAATGAAAGGTATGGTGGTAAAGTGCACAGACTATGCAGCCAACTCCTTGGTTCAAACCCTGGCTAATAATGCATGGCAGTATTTTCTGTTTAGTAAATTATAGCCAGTCGCTGTATGAAGACTAGAGTAATATCTGGGAAACCAAGATACCTGAATTCTAGACTTGAATCTTGGCCCTGATTCTAACTATCCATGTTACCGTGGGAAAACTGCTCAAACTTTTGAGGCCTCGGGTTCCAGATCTGTCACATTCAGAGGGTTGAGGTCGAAGATCCCTTAAATGTAAACTTTCAAAGTGCTTTTTTCGGGATCTTTCGAATCTTCATGCTCTTCAAAGAGTACCCAAACTTTCCCCTTACTATACAGTCTGAACTTTGAGAATCACTGTGTTATCTCAGTTTACATAGTAATCCTGATCTAAATTTTATTGCTCATGTTTGGGAGATGAGGAAATGGAGACCTAGCAAGTTTAAATAACTTGTTCAAGATCACATGGCTAAATAAGTGGTGAAGCTGGGATTAGATTTAGTTCTGCCAATTCTAAAGCTGTGCATTTTCTACTTTTTGTATGTTTTTCTGACATTAGACTTGATTTCCATACAGTAGGCCAGGATCCCAAATTTTCAGTATCTATATATTTACCCACGTAGCTCTCACTTTGATATTTCTAAATCTATACTTTTGAGCTGTCATTTGTTCATTTCTCTATTTCAACACTCCCTTTTCCTTGTTATTTATGGTGTTGTCAGCCCATATGGTCTAACTCCCATTTCTTACTCCTGTTAAATGTCTCCTACATGTCTGTTTTCTAGCAGTTACTCCTGATTTTTATCTGAAATAAAATTTTTATGTACTTGCCCATTTTATCCACTTTACAATGAAAAAGATTATATATATGTGAAGTTGGTGCTAAAGTTATAATAAATAATAGAGGATAAAATGAAGACCAGAGAAGTAAAAACTCCAGTAATTATTTTCCATTTTCTTTTATATTTAGGTCTTAGTGAGACAAGGAAGATGATTTTCATGTCTAAACACTGGAACAACCTTAATCATGTTAATATCACAATCCTTACCATCTTCTAAACAAAACTCTAAATGAATATTTGAATGGAAAAATAGTAAAAATAGTATTTAATATTTAGTTTTCAGAATATAGAAACATCTCAGTGAAATTGTGTGCCACCAGCATTATGTATATTTGAGGTAATATTTGTATAATTACTAACTTTAACAAACATGGAAAACACTGCTTTTTGGTTATGTAATACATTAACTTTTAAAGTTAAGAATTCCACATTATTGTAAAATAAGTTGAGTTTAGTGCTATGTCAATTAGGCAAATAGATATAAGCTCTATTACTAGCTCAACCTGAAAATGTAGAGTGCTTACTAATTATGTGTTATTAACACAAATGTCAATAAAAAATGATTAATCCAACAAGTGCGGAAACACAATAACAAAAATATAATTATCAATATAGCTATTTTATAAGAGTAAACTATAACATTGGGCCAAAAAAAAAAACTAAGGTCACTGCTTTCATTATATGTTCCAAAATTGTTCTCTATAAATATAATGACTAATTCTTATCATTTATCCTTATTTAATCTTCCTTTGAACAAATTTGCTGATACTGACAAGTATTTTCAAACACATCATCATCTGATTAAATAGATTATTATTAAGAACTCATCAAAGCTTTTAAGGCTATTAATGGTTTCATGCAGCTTAAAAAATCTAATTTTGGAAGTAACTGGCTAATGAATTTTCCTTTTATTGGTAAATAGCCACCATACTCCAATATTACTGTCAATATGTAAATATGATAGTTAACATGCTTATATTTTTCTTAAGAGCTGGAATACAGACTTTATAATATGCTTGAGATATCATCAAATATTTTGATAATGCCATTATGATACAGCTTATATGTGGAGTTAAAAAAATTGCTGGCCAGTTGAAGTGCATTTTATGAACTGAATTTTAAATTTCCTAGAGGTTAACATGATAACAAATTTATCATCTTGACACGGTGTATTATGGTCTTCTTTCATAAAGTTTACAGGCCTTTCTTATTGTCTTTTCCTAAACGACTCTGTAAGAAAAAAAAATGTCATAGTACAGCAAAGAGTAAGAAACAGATTCATAGATACGACAAGGACCTTTAAGAAAACATTCTCTCTTCTGTGTATAGTTATTAATTATGAGAATAATCAAATGTGAAAATACGAATTGAGAAAGGCTTAAATTTTAAAAACTATAAAATTTGTGGGTTTTGCTTAAAAAAAATTGTGTAGAGGGGGACAATAACACTCTTGATAAGTTCATCATTTCCCTGCCTTAATCTATTTTGCTATTGTTTCATAGGGTATACCAGGAAAACAAAATTTCTAAGATTTCCTTATTGCAAACCCAATTAAGACTTTAGGCAAGGAAAGAATGAAGGGCAAAAAACCCAGTTGGGGTGGCTTTTTTTTTTGTCCTTCAAATATTTGCTAATAGAACTGGCTTCTCAAATTATACTCTGCTGAGCACATTATAAAGATGACTGTAATACATCATTTAAAACTGGAGGAAAATGGAGTAGAAACCTTAAGTGATTACTTGAACTAAGAAAGTAAATGTTTACATCAAGAAAAAAATCTCATAAAATGGAGCTGTGGAGTGTTATTGCTTGTACACAGGAAATTCATCAAGCTCTTGTTCTGGCTGAGCACTACTGCCTTCAGAGCAACTTTATTATTTATTTTATTTTTTATTTTGGTGGCCAGCAAATATGGGGATCTGAATCCTTGACCTTGGTGTTATAACACTGTACTGTAACCAACTGAGCTAACTTGCCAGCCCCAGAGCAACCTTAATATTAATTTAAAGCCATCAAGTAAGAAGACAGGATTAGAGAAGGTATTCTGAATGGTAACATACCATTTTCACACATTTATACATATCTGATCACTTTAGAAATAAATCAAAGCTTTAATGGAGCTGTTATTATGGACAAGTCCCTAAGTGAAGGGTGATTTTCCAAAATGAAACTTAAAAACTGGCAGGTGCTGATGACTTTTTGCTGCCAATAACCCATAGTTGGTTCTGCTTTTTCTTTTTTAGAAGAGAGCCAGGGCAAATAAGGAAAGGCAAAGACTACATGCTTTGAAGGGACTGTTGTCTAATGTTTATTTAGTGCCTATAACAGGGAGGGGAGCAGATGGGGAAATCCAAACGTATTTAAAAGATGCAAAGTGGGGTTTGTTTACGGTAAAGAAACCAGCTTTCCTTCTTTCATTTTTGTTTCCTTAATATTTTAACAATCTTTGGTTTTATAATTGCTTCATTTAAAGTACATATCTACTATGTAAGATTGAGCATGTTAATAAGTTTCCCAAAGAACTTTAGGATATAATTCAATTAGTAAGGTTGGTTTGACAATAGAAGTAAAATTCATGAGGACAATTTGATCCAGCTTTTCACTGTAGATGGTCTCTAGCTATCTTTGCTTCTGAAGCAGGATTCAGAATGTGAATATTAAAGTTCAGGAGTCACTTTTAAGAAAATGGTTCTCTTTTAATGACACCTAAATCTCAGAATTTTATACAGGTTCTCATACTGGACAATGGGAAGGTGGGTAGTGAATGGGAAATGTAGCTAATCAAGACATAACTAATAGCATCTTATGGCTGTATAGAGCCTTTCTTGATTAAAAATATTTAAAGTGCTTTCTTGCACAAGATCCGGTTTAATGCTCGTAAGGTATCATAATTCTCACTTAAGTAATAAAGTAGTGAGGTGCATGTTAAATGACTCACCTGAGGGTTACAGAACTGGTAAACTATGGAGCTGAGATTTTTTTCCCTCTTTAAACAGAGGCATTTATTACAAGGGATTGGTTTTATAGGTGATGAGAGAGTAGACACACCAAAACAGGGTGGGGCAAGGTACCTCAAGGATTAGCAACAGCAGAAAACCATCACTACTCCTTGGGCTGGAGGGATGAAGGAGGATACAGTTACGGAGTGAGGGTCAACAGGTGAACGCTGCCCAGTGAAAACTGGGACCACGGAGGAAAGGAACTGAAGCCATCAAGGAGAATCTACCTAAAGCAGAGGGAGAAATTCCTGGCTTTCCCTTTCCTCTTGACTTCAGTCTTCTACCAGTGCCTTCCATTGGCTAAACCTGCCCAGAAGTCAGAGAGCAAGGAAGCCTGGGAAATGTCCATCCCTGAGATACAATGTAGAGCAGCACTGGGAGGAGAATGGATCCAAGAACACACAGTCCAATGACCAGCACAGGTTGAAGAACATAGCGGTTACGGAGAAAGGCTGTGGAGAAAGGTTGTGGAGAAAGATTTCCTGACTTTGAATGCTATCACTTTCTAGTTCAGTGACTTTGGGTAAATTATATAACATCTCTGGGTCTCAGTTTCCTTGTCCACAAAATAGGGAAATTAAGAAAACTTACTGAGGGGCCGGCCCGTGGCTCACTCGGTAGAGTGCGGTGCTGATAACACCAAGGCCACGGGTTCGGATCCCATATAGGGATGGCCGGTTTGCTCACTGGCTGAGCGTGGTGCTGACAACACCAAGCCAAGGGTTGAGATCCCCTTACCGGTCATCTTTAAAAAAAAAAAAAAAAAAAAAAAAACTTACTGAGTAGTCCTGGAGAGTAAAAATGACAATACATATGAAGTCATTCGCAAAGTTCTTGGTCCAGAGCACACTCTCAATAAATGTCATCTATTAAATACTTCAAAAACTGGATAGAGGCAGAAATTAAATCAAGGCCTAAATGTGCTAGTGAACAGGGCCCAACTCTCAGCATGGCACGTGGCATATGTACAATATGTCCTTTTCCAAAGAAACAGGCATAACAACTATTTTCCTGGAAAGGACTCATAAAAGCTCTCTATATCCTTTGCCAAGAACGCAGCAGCTCAAAGCTGAAGGCATCTTTTTGGGGGGGGAAGGAAATGGGTTGAGGGGAATCTCACTGTTAGGCGCATTCTTCAGAGATTAAGAAATCCATTAGCTGTTACCACAATGGAAACATTCAGCAATGGACACTGGCTGTAAGAAACTGAGGGCATATTCCTGGTTTTCCTTTCTCCATTCAGAACATTTCTGATGTCCTGGCAAAGTCTACTGGTGTGGACACTCATTCTGGTTGAATATACCCTGACCTCATAAATAGAAAATAAAATGTTGTACAGTATTTCTAGGTGAAATGCCCCTGACGTGACTTCTTCACTTCCCATACAGGATCATGAAACATGCCACGGAGTAATTCTTATCATTCCCTGAGGAGATCAGCAATTTGAGGATCACTATTTAGAAATGCGGAAGGGGTAGTCTTGCTGAAAATTTAACTACCTACTCTAGACCATGTGATCTAAGCCCTCAACATCCTGGATTTGGAGCACACAAGGTATCCACTCTACTCTGGGCTGCCCTGTCTTTTCTTTTGGTATTGTCAAAGTATGCTAGTTAAATCAAACACGCAAACCAACTGGGAATATCGGACTACAAATGTGCTTTGCATTGCTTCTTGACTGACCAAGGCCAAAATGACTGGTTAAGAATAAGTCATTCTTCCAGCAAAATTTCTACAGAGAAAGTAATACTGATGATGATAATTATGATAACAGCCATTATTTCTTGAGTGTTACTATCAGCCAGGCACAGAAGCACCCTACAAATTCTATTTAGTTCTCCCAAGGACCCAGTGATCAAGAATTATTATTGTTCCAATTTTACAGATGAAGAAACTGAACTCCAGAGAGATGATATAATCTGCTTAAGATCAAAAAGCTAGTATGAGGCCAGGTATAGAAATTCTAGGTCTGTTTGACTCCAAATCCATGACTATAATGTCTGCTTGCCTTGTGCCAGGCACAGTGCTAGACCCTAGAGATACAATGACCATCAAGATGTAGGGAAATAGGGCTGGCCGGTTAGCTCAGTCAGTTAGGGAGTGGTGCTGATAACACCAAGGTCCAAGGTTCGATCCCTATACCAGGCAGCCACACATAAAAAATAAACAAATAAAAAGATATAGGGAGACGAGTACAGTGAAATAAACAGCTGTAATTGCTAAAAAGCCTTGACTGAAAGCCAGGAAGGCTGCCCAATTATGAGGACGAGCCCAACCTGTCTTGATAGGAACTGAGAAGGAGGGCCAGGGGGGCCTCTGGAATGGTCTTTCCCCCAGTTCTCCACACACAATCAAAATGTAGCTGGGAAATCAATTTGGGTTAGTGGCTGGCAGCTGACAAGCAGGGGAAAGACAAGCCCAACATGGATCAATGTTTGAAACTGACACTTTCTAGACCAGAGGGGAAGAGAAAGAAAACCTATGGCATAGATCTGACTCTGCGGCTTTAACAACAAAAAGGTTTTTTTCCTATTTCCATCTTTTAAACCAATTTTGGAGATAAATAATATATTTGAAGGCCCACTTTGTCCTATGAGGTCTAAAACACTGGGATAGAAAGAGTAGTGTGATGTGGAACTTCAATTTTTGGCCTTATTTTGGCATGAATATTGGCAAATATTCCAAGCAGCAAAACTCAATTTTTCCAGAATTAGTCTGTTTTTCAATGCTGCCATTTTTGTGGCTCAATTCTTTTGCTTAAAACTTCACCAAAACTGGAATGCTGTAAGTTAGCATGTCAGCAATTCTTTATGTTATGATTATTATCTTGAATTTTCCTGCAATGTCCTAATCTTCACCTTCTAGGTACAAATCTGGCTTCTTTAATCATTTAACAAAGCCAGGATTAAATACATCCTCTTGATTTGGAAAGGTAAAATAACCTAGTTTAATTATTATTTCAAAAAAATTAGGCCCATAAAGTGCATGTCACCCACCTGAAGCTCTGAGTGTTCTTTCAGGAGCAGATCATATTCTTGTGAAAGTCTCTCTGATTGCACCTTCATTGTCATCACATCATTTTGTGCCTTAGAAAGGGCTAAAAAATATCAAACAGAATGTTATTTTTATTTTGGAATAATTTCAAATTTACAGAAAAGTTGCAAGACTTAAGTAGAGAACTCCTATGTAGTCTTTACTCAAATTCACCCACTGTTAATGTTGTGCTACACTTGTTATCATATTCTCTCCCTACACATACAGTTATTTTCTTGAATCATTTGAGAATAAGTTGCAGACATTGTGTCCCTTACTCTTTAATACCTCACACTGTGTATTTCGCAAGAACAAAATATTATCCGACATAATCACAGTATAGTTACCAAATTTAGAAAATATAATATCAATACTTTAAATCCAATCTACTGTCCATATTCCATTTTTGGCAATTGTCCCAATTATGTCTTTTTTAGCATTTTTTTTTTTCACTTCTCCAGGACACAGTCCTGGATCACATATTGCATTTAGTTGTCATGTCTCTTTAGTTTCCTTTAATCTGGAATAGTTCCCCAGTCTTCCCCCAGCCCTCCTCTTCCTGTCCTTTATGATGATGACATTTTTAAGATGCAGGACACTTTAAAAATAGAATCTTCTTCATTTTGTTTTGTCTAATGTTTCCTCATGATTAAATTCAGGTCATGCATTCCACTTACATATGAATATGACATAAGTGATGTTGGATGCTTCTCAGGGCATCTAGAGAGAGAGGCCCATCACATCCAAAGACCTTTTGTGCCTCATTGGTTTTTTCATTTTATAGTTACTATACTACTATACTTCCCCCTTATAACTAAAGAAGCAATATATGGGAAGACAATTTAGACTATGCAAACATCCTGCTCCCTGTATTTAGCATTAATTGATAATTCTTACCCAAACCAATCTTATTACGATGGCTGCAAAATGGTGATTTTTCAACTTCACCATTCCGTCCACATTTATCAGTCAGCTTTCTATTGTAAGGAAGAGCTTTCCTTTCTTCTCCATCCTTTTAGTCATTTGTCTATTATTCTGTCCGTCTGTCCGTCCATCCGTCCATCCATCCATCCATCCATCCATCCATCAGTATGAACTTATAGGTTCCTATTTTTTCAATGACTTATAATGCATTAATATATTTAATTATTCTGATGTGTAAATTTCTCCAGATTCGGCTAGTGAGAACCCATTCTGGCTGGCTCCTAGATCCTTTGACTATGTCACCAGCATTTTTTTTTTTTTTAAGTATTTCTTTACTTTTTGGCACAAGATGTTCCAGGTTCATCCTAAACCTTCCTCTGCTCAGCTGGGACTCAGGCATTATAGGGAAGAGAATTTATCAGAAGAGTCTGCTTCTGAAAATACTGATAGAAAAAATGTCATTCTTGCAAAGGGATGGATTTTCTGGTATATAAAAAGCAAAGTAGATTCCATATCCTAATAATGCCTGACTAGACCTGGTGGTTTTAAGAATGTTGGTGCTATAGTCTGAATATGTGTGTCCCCACAAAATTCATACATTGAAACCTAAGCACCAACGTTATGGTATTAGGAGGTGGGGCTAGGAGGTGATTAGGTCATGGGGGTGGGGCCCTCATGAATGGGATTAGTGCCCTAATAAAAGAGGCGCCAGAGCTGCCTTCTCCTTTCCAACATTTGAGGACACAGCAAGATGGCACCATCTATGAACCAGGAAACAGGCCCTCACCAGATATCAAATCTGCTGCAGCCTTGATCTTGGATTTCACAGCCTCCAAAACTGTGAGAAACAAATTTATATTGTTTATAAGCTACCCAGTCTATGTTACTTTGTCATAGCAGCCCAAATGGACTAAGAGAGCTGGTCAGGTGCTTGTATTGAACAGGGATTGTTTTTTGGTTTTATTGGTCATGAATATTCATGGGGTACAAAGCTGACCATCACCACTCGTGCCCAAGATATGATGGCCAGATCAATACTGGCAGCATGCCCATTACCACAAATTGCAATTATACCCTGTGTCCCCCACCCAATTAATCCCTAACCTCCCCCCCTCCGCTCCCTCTTTCCCCCAAAGGATTGGTTTTAATGTTAAAAATAATTTATACCTAAATTTCTGACATGAATAAATTAGTTAGAAAATTCAATACGTTTTAGACATCAACTCATTAGTTCCTTACTAAAAGAAGCTAGAAAACCACTTTTACAGCTTATCTAGGAGTTTCTGCTGGTTACTCCTGGTATGAAGCTATATCAAAACAAATGCAGGCAAATACTGTTTTTCTGACACTTATCAAGCCAAGGTATAAACTGTTTCTTATTTTTGTTTTGTATTTCAGTGAATATTAATAAACCTAATGATTACTGTCTTATTAAATTTACTCCAATTAGGGGAGGCTGTTATTGTCTAGAAGCCTCTTGCACTGTTTCCCAGCCCTTTCTCTATCTTCTGTTTTATAAAATTACAATATTCTGTTTTGGATGACTTCCACCTCCTTCTGGAACTGCATCTGTACCTAAGGGATTATTTAAACTTGTTATCTGACATGTGAATATGCTTGTTTTATTTTGAGATATATCATTTTGGAAACAGCATATACAGGGAAAACATTATTGGACAAGGAGGTTTGAGGTGACACATCTAAGTTGCTATTTCAATTTTCTTATCTGCAAAAATGGGTTCCTATCATTTGCCAGTGGTTTTATGGAAATGCTGAGATATTTCATGAAACTATTGGCCAGATTCAACTATAGATTAAGCTATTTCTTAGTCACTAGGAACTTTTTAAGGCACAGGTATCATTTATTAACATAGAAAATAACCCCAATTAATGTTACAGTGACACACCGTAAGCCAAAATGTTTGGGCAAAATGTTTGTGTAAAATGACATATAAACAGGCCTAAATTATCTGTGGTCTTTCCAAGTGCCAAACTTAAATTTATGGAGCTATATGCACAGTGGGAGGAGCTGGAAAGACTAATGCACTGTGTGAATATATTATATCACTATGATTTCTACCAGAGATAACAGACAACACCAGCTAAGCTCTGCTGGGAAATGGAAGAGAAATTTTTTAGAGGCATCGGTGTGGCAGCTAAAGATGGGCTGTTGTACAATAGTTATAAAGATTGAGTTAGAGGAAAACGTGTTTTATTTAAAAATTTTCCATACCTATAGTGTTGGCTTCTTTTCAGTTTATTTGGTACTGTTTTTGTGAATTTGAGAGTGTGATACATTGAAGCTGAATCAGTACTTAATCCTCACATGTACTTACTATTCCTTTGCCAGTAATCAATCACTGGACTGTTAAACCAGAGTAATGGTTCCAATATACATGGAAAGCAGACACACAAACTTCTGTTTGGTAAGAAACATAAATTGTGGTTTTAATTATATTATAGTTAATTTTGTGCATGCCTACATTGTTGGGTCTGTGTAGGTAAGGTCTCTGTTTTATTCATTCACTTCAATCACCACCTACGCTCTCTCAATCTCAGTCCATCGACTGATAAGGTTTATTGATTCTACTTCCTTTCCAACTCTCCAATCCATCCATTCCACTCCATCTCTGCAACCACTGTCCTCATCTCTAGCTTATATTATTGAAATGGATTCCTCACCTAGTAGCCTGGCTACTCTCACTCACTGTTCACAGTGCTCTCAAAGTGATTGCTCTCATGCTTAAAAACCCTCTGATACTGCCCCCAAAATGTTAACATATAAACATGGCACATGAGGCTCTTCATGATGGCTCCAAGGCCTACTGCTCAACTATCTCCACTGACCCCATCTTACTTTAGGCTCCAGTTGCATTGAGCTCCTTGTAGTACCTCAAAAGTGCCACACTCTTTCAGTTGCATGCTGCTCATTTTGTTAAAGCATCCTTTCTATCTCCCCTAACCTCCCTGCCTCACTCATTCTCTCCCATTTGATCTGACTAATTACTATCCTTCAAAATGTCACAGAAATTGTCCTTGATCTCCAGCATTGCCTCTACTGCATCTTGAACTTATCTTCATCATAGCACTTATTATTCTAAAGGGCAACTATGTCCTCACTACACTCTGGACTACTCAAGAAATAGAGCTGTGTCTTATCTCTCTAAGAATCCAGCACACTGTCTAGCACATGGAGGTGCTTAAAATATGTTCCTTGAAGGAAAGAACAAAAAATGAAAAGTGTAAGCTTTAAGTATCTGAAAAACTCACTTGTATGGAATCATTCATTTCCTGAAAATGATAAATGTGAGGTGACTGATATGAGGTGCTACTTTAGATACCTGATGGAAATCTTGGTTGCAACAAGATAAAAGCAACTACATCTTTAAACATAACACAAAATATTCAGGATAGCTGGAGAACCACAAAGCAAACAGACCATTCTCGAAATATTTTCATGAAAATATATTCACGTTATAAATATCTAATGCTATTCCATAATTAAAAACAAAATATAAATAGTATTACAGACTCCAATTTGGTTAAAAAAACAACTAAAACACTGATTCTAAGAATGGGAAAGGAAACATGAAAGATAAGCCTGGAGTATCTTGTAGTGCCAGAAAGAAAGTGCTCTAAAAATGAAAACAAAAAAATCAACAATAATGGAAATATGTCAAAGGAACACATGAGCTAACTGAAAGAGTTCCCAATGGCCAAAGCTGGACAACTTGAGCAACAAAATAGTAGTATTAAATGATAACCCAAAGTCTAAAATAAATACCTGTGAGTCCATACTGATATAAAAATTAAATGAATAAAGAATTAAATGGTGGAGAATAGACAAAACTGTGCAGAAGAATTCCAAATAATTTATGTAGATACTCTACTCTTAAGGAGGTAAAGCATAACTCCCCAATTTTTTTTTTGGCAACTGGCCGGTAAGGGGATATGATATAACTTCCCATTTCTTAAGTGTGGGACGTGAACAGTGACTTCCTTCTAAGAATTACAGTACAAAGGGGGGAGTAACTATTACAGTACAGAAACTTGACAAGCACTATCTCAGCCAGGTGATCAAGATCAACACTAACAGTGATAAATCATGTTATTAATAGTATGTATTCTTGATAATGTGAT